CTCCCCAGAGCCCATCCACTCCCCAACCCAACCTCCCACTACCACTTATCCTTGAGAGCAACTCCCCCAGAGGGATGGATTGGTAAGAGTCCGGCAAAGCAACACATGCATATGAAACTCTTCTTTGACAGGTGCCGCAAATGAGCTTTATTGAAAGTGGAGTCTCCAGCAGTGGTCTGTGGAAGTAGCTTCAGACTTTTCTCCTACAATTCGGCCCACACAAAGAAACTGGCTTTCGTATTTCCCTCATGCAACTTATTTAATAAGTTCTTATTAAATCAGCTTCTTATCTATCCTCTTCCACCTGTCCTAACAGCTCTTGTTTTATTCCCAAAGAAAGGTATGTCTACCCATTCTGTATGATCTCTAAATTTAAACCTCAAAACCCCAAATCTTAATATCAAACAAAAATAGACAGGAATTTTCAAATTGCACTTAAAATTTAATGTATTAGATGCCAGCTAAATCATTATTCTGGGTTTTAAGAATACTTTCATTTATTTTCATTTTGGTATGGTTCTCAAAAATGTAAAATAAGAAAACAAAAACAAAGCAAAACTACTTTCTAAACTCCCTTCCCTGGCTGGTGTCACTTTCTAAAATAGCAGGACCTGTGATCAACCAAACCAAGGAGCATGGAAAAAAAACACTTTCAAGGATTTCTAAATACAAATAGAGTTGTTTAGGCATCAGGATGATTTGGCACAATCTGTCTAATCTTTCCCTTCAGATTTCCTAGCATGCAACTAAACTCCAGAGGGAGAGAAAGAGTTCCTTTTGGCTCACTCCATAATTCTTGGTTGACCCATATATTATGCTAGTTCAAGCAGAAATCTGCTGAGAAGCTTACAAAAAATATTTGAAAAGCTCTTTAGGGACAATTTTGTCGCCCTTGATAGAGATGCCTACAGATGTACACAGCTTCCTCTACAGATCCTGCCTTCTGACTCACTTGGCTTGTGCAGCAGGAATGTTTTCTTCATTGCTTTTTAAGTCTCCAGCCCTTGGAAAGGAGGACGATGCCGGTAAAGAAAGTGTAAAGTGTCACTATTTCTAGCCACTTTTAAGAATCTGCAGGAATTTTAGTGATAAATAACCAATAGGTAAATGACAACTGTTTTTATTGAAATCAGGAGTTTGATATTGAAAGTTCCTACATATTTTAAAAGCAAAGGCCTCAGAGTCACAAGACAAGGATTGTAGTTGCTGGTTCAGAAAATTTCTAGCTGTGTTCTTAAATCAACCATTCTACCCTTCTGACTCTCTGAATGTTCACCCACAAAACAGGGATAAGAATATCTGAGTGACTACCTCATCCACTTGGTGTGATAAAATGAGAAATGGATGACAAAACACTCTGTACGACGTGAAGAACTATTCAAATGTAGAGCATTATTTTCAGAATGCAGGTGGGATTACATGAACTCCATTGTGAGGATTGAAACAGGAAATTTCTATCCGAATATGTAAACTTATTACTAATACTTTTGAAGTCTGTGAACTTGTGAATAGGAACCTGTCGTTTTTAAGTTTATATCTTGATCAGTTTCTCTTTGCAAATTTTAAATACAGTACACTGCATTTATAAATTTAACCCTGTAGCATGTTTGCTATTAGGCATTTGGCATGGTTCAATTTTATTATTGGTTAATTTATAGTAGCAGGGAAATAATACACTTATATTTTAGAAAACAGGGCATTTTATTTACTATCTATTAAGAAAACATTAAAAAAAAGAAAGCATGCTATCTTATCCAGTTTTCCTTTTGGTTATAATTTCAATAGAGTGATTTCCTAATTCAATCATAACACTTTAAAGATAAAGCAATATCTACTTAAACATTATTTAAAGAAAAAGGATTAAAACATTTCCATATAGATTTTAAAAGCCACATCTATGATAAAAATCTGACAAAATAATTATATTAATACTTAAATCACAATATATAAAAATAAAGCATGAAATAAGGGAAACATTTGATTACTGTGCCATTTGTAACTAATATAATATTCAAGTAAGAAAACGAATAATATCAAGAAATCAACTAACTTATTTGATGGAAGAAAAGGTGAGAGGTGGACTTTCAAGTACTTTTGGAAAGTACCAATAAGACCAGAAAGGACAGGGAAATTGTGTACTGGTGACAACTTATAATTGTGAAAAAGCACATTCAAAATTATACTAACATTTAAACTGTTTTCTTATTTACTAAAGAGTCTAAGAAATATCTTAGTGATTTGCTTTCATATTGCCACATATGTCATGTCAGTTGCCCCAAATATCTAGCTAGTTGGGAGAAAGGCATATTAAATGCTTTTAATTTTCTGAAAATAAATAAAAATCAATAGGAGAGTAGAAGATTTGAATTTAATTTTGTGGCAATACTCATAATATTGAGTGTTTTAGGGTTGGAAGGTACCTGCTATCCTAATCTTTTTTTAAAAAAATAATTTTTAAAGAAGGGGTTTTAAATTAAATTTGGAAATTATTTTATAATCACACTAGTTTGATTCCTGTCACTGACAACTTTTTGTTGGGGAAAACTCTATGAATGTTGGGATGAGGTGAGGAACAGATATAAACTTGCTTTTCTTTCTGAGTACAGCTATGGGATCAAGATTAGTTGTTTCTCTAAGCAGAAGCTCATGGGATTTGCCTTCCTCTTTACTGGAACCTGAGAATATTGCCAAGAAACATTGTAAGTGTTGCCTAGGTTGGCCCAACTCCATTATCTACATTTTTATGTAAGCTCTGATGCTTTCATTGGTAATGATTTTCCTTCTATTTTGTTTCCAATGTTGAATTTTCTTCTGCTCCCCAATGTTTCTATTCTCACAGCTATGACTAGCAATGGAATAATAACTACACTCTACTGCAAGGATTCAAATGAGAAAACAAAAACTGACACATTTTATACTGCATCATATAACAATGGCTCAGAACCCAGTAGTTTATGAATGAAATAAAGATACTTTATTTGTTACACAGGCACTTGGATATTCACATGCCCAACACATCTGATACACTTAACAACTATGGAAACACGAATGGAAAATGTCTGCTTGTAGGATCAAGAGAGAATTTCACCATGGAAAGGTGAATGAGTGCATTGACAATTTTTCCTTTACTTTCCTCTAAGAATTTCCAAAAGTTACACTTCAAATAATATGCAACAAAAACTGATCTACATTCCAACTGGTATACTAACTTGAACTGTGAGCAATTTAAACTTTTATCACAATGCAACATATTTATAGTCATGCTTGAACAGATTAGGTTAGTAGCATGCATTCCATTCTGCAATATGAATACTGTTAATCTATTTCCCAACAAAAGTCAAAAGATGCCCAGTGCATAGAAAAATACAAATCACTGTAGTCAATATATTACGAGACTGATCTTGGGACTTACATGGTGATGATGAAGTCCTAAAATGCCATGCCCACAAAAGCACATTAAAAAGTGGATAAACATTTTATCAGACAATCTCTAAAAAATTAAAGATGCGAGCTTTAAATTTGGGGGATTTTCTTGCTGTGTGCTTTGAACAGGGCCTTTCTGCTCACCTCCTTCTGGCTTGACTGGTCCATCAGACATCACCTTCCTGAGGGCTAGCTGGCTTTGGTCTTGGTTGCCATTGGCTGGTGGAGGCAGATTATCAGACTGAGTTCTTTGAATGGGGAGGACTCCTGCTATGCTGTGTCTGTGCTGCTTCCTGGCATGATTAGACTGACCGCTTTTATGTGCTGCTGTGGCAGTGTGGGTGAAATGGAAACCCAGAGTATGTACCTCAGATGGAACCAGCTTCAATGTTATTCATGCAAACAGAAGTGTTCTTTTGCTCTATTTCAATTGTGTTTTCAAATGCCAAAATGACATCACATGCACAGCGCTAGAGGGCGTTAAAACTGGCTGTTTCTTTTAAAATGATGACTGGGAGATGGGAAAACAACCATCTATCTCATTGCCTGGCTAATGCCATGTGGAAGTAACAGTTCACCTACATTTGTGAAATGCCTGCACTTAAGTTTTTATATAATTATATCAATTGCTTTACATTTTCACAAGTGAAGCAAAAACAAAACAAAACAAAACAAAAAAAAAACCACAACAGTTAAGATGGGTGAACTGCTACACTTTAATTGATTTACAGTTACTAGACATAGCACATCTTGACTTTTAAAGGATATCAGTGATTAGGGAAAAAAATAACCTATAAATTCTCTGTTATCATATACAAAGTGTGATCCAACAGAAGGGACCAATTGTGCTCCTTAACGAGGTTGCATTACCTCATCACATATGCTTATACATATATCATAATATGTACTTTTTAGAATATATGAAATATGATTTTATTCACAGATTTTTCAAAAGACTAGGAAGAGTCACACAAGGAAAGCTACAATGTCTCACATGCATACTTTCTTTATGTTTTTAAGCATTGGTTTGAAATGGCTTTTTCCCCTAGGCTCTAGAATTTGACTACTGATTGGTCTCAATACTCTTCTAATTTTTTTGAGTGTTTTCAGGTGCAAGAATCACATTGTTAACTTTCTACAAATACTTGTGTGTGTGTGTGTGTGTGTGTGTGTGCGCTTTTTTGTGTGTAATACTTGGAGAATTGGCAGCTAATTGTGCTTATAGTTCCTGCATTCTAAATAATTTTTAAGCACACACGAAAAGGACGCACAACACTGCTTTGCCTGAAAACGTCATAGACACAGCTACCAAATACTATGAGCCAGGGTGGATGGATGGTGGGAACAATGGAGAAACAGCCAGTTTTATTGCAGTCTATGTAAATTAAAAAGAAAAAAAAAACTGAATAAGAGAGCATATTTATGTTTTGATACTGTTCTTACACAGACAAAAGGACAAAGAACAGAGTGAGCAGGGGATGCCAAAAACAGAAAGCAAACAGGGAAGGACAGCAGGAGAGAAAGGCAACAGATGAACATTAAGCTGCCATGCTGAGGAATTTATTTGCGTCTTTTACTTGGTTGAATGCGGAGTTGTTGCACGGCGGCTTCCGCAGCGGCTATGGCAGCCCCTGCATCTTCCAGGTGGGTCTGAGTGACGCTGGTTTTGCTTTGACTGCGAGATGGTCCATGGGAACGAAGATGGCCTTCAGATGATGATTTTGAGCTACCAGGACTACTATGGGATTTCTCAATGGTAGGAACCTGCATGTCTGGTTACAAAAGGGTAAAACAGTTAAAGTTGCTCCAGCCTTCCTGCTGTCAAGATTGGTCTACACATAATTTGAAATTGTTTCAGATTTATTTTAATACTCTTTAAGGAATCATTTATGCTACTGCTTACCATGTAGTAATGTGACTAAACATTTGGAAATTTGGGGGATGAAAGGCAGAAGGGTCAGAATTTTGAGAAGAGATAGGTTAATAAAGAGGAAGACATCCTAATTAGCCTCAAGTCATGAATCTGTTAACTTCTCGTTTTTTTTTCTTGCAACTCTGATCATTCTAATAGAGGTCCAGTAAAAGACAATAGGCTTAGCATTGCTCCAGGAGGATTTTTAAACAAAATTATAGTGAAGTTTTAGGACATAATAAATGTAAATATTGTAAAATTATTGTCTCAGGTAATTTTAGAGAATGTATGGATCACGTTTACTAAGTTAGTCATAGAGACAGAGGTCTAGACCAATCCCCTTGCAGAATGCTAAACAAATTTTAAAAATTCCAATGGCTAAGCAGAACCCATAAATGAACTATGGAACCTATTCATAAGTAGTCTATAGCACTCATTCCCAGTCAATGGTTACCATATTAACTCAATAGCCTTCTAGACATGGCCTTAGATTCCCATCTCTTACAACACATAGAATCCATTCTCTTCTCATACACATAGAAGCCTGTTCAATTTGATGTGCTTAGAAGTGCATAAGAGACAAGGAAACAATACTAAAGTCTGGTATAAAAGTTGTATTTAATATTTATCAATAGTTCAGCATATGTAGATAAGATATCACACATTTATCTTGTTACCTAATTTATGACAAGGAATCATATTGTGCTATAAGGTGGTTGGTAATAAATCTCCCAAAGGAAAATATCACTCAAACGGAATGCTGTATATATTGCCAAACCCAATGTATGCCACTATTATTTAAAAAATAATAATAGTTTATAAATTAGTTGCAGTTCAACATTTAGGAAAGACTTAACAAAATTTAGCATACCAAATGTTTTGATGACATGGGTAAAATTTTCTTCATACAATAAGTAAAAAGAAGAATGCAAAATTGTATCTATAGAGTAAGAGTGTATTTGTGAAAAATCAGAGATTCAAACAATTAAATGGAATATGCCTAAATGGTAATGATGATTATGTTTTGTCAGTGTGCTACAGGGATTTTTATATTTTCTTTATGAAATACCCCAATGAATTTTCTAAAAATCATATTATTATGGATTTTAAAAAACAGAAAAGACCAAATGGTTCATATAGCCCAACATTCTACATTTTGTAGATTGAAAAATGGAGAGTTAAAGTGAAGATTGAAAAGTATTTTACTTAAGAATGTGGTTATCTGAAATTAGAACTTCTTTGTCTCAATTCCATATCAATGCTTTACCTGAGATTATGTTAAATTTTTTTTGCCATTCTCTAACTTTTCAATATACATTAAATATACATTCAAGAAGATACTTAGTGAACAAATAGACGAAAACTTTTTGTACTTAAAATATCTCCTACCCTTGGATGGGTCAGGGAAGATACCGTGGCTCCTGCTTTTGATGACAGATGGCTTTGGGGATTGCTGGCTGCTCTGGCTGGAATGAGACTTGCTATGATCAATGCTTTCAGTCTGTTCTTTGAGTGGATACCACCTAGGAGTGTTATCCAGATGAGATGTGCTAGATAAATCAATCAGTACCTGAAAAAAGAGTGCAATGAATCAATGAAATCTATGGATTAATTATGTTCAACTCATTACTTTTTTTCTGTAAATCTAAAATTTATTCAAAAATATAAACCAAAGGACACAGTGATGTGAGGAGGAGGATGCTGTCTTGCTCAGTTTTCTTTCTTTTTTATTTCCTTATTTTTCTTCACTCATAATATTGGGAACAAAGTCTTATGTATATTGGATACTCAGAAAATGTATAATTAAATTCAACTATATAATGTCTTTTAATATTAACTCAATTATTTGGATATTGTGTAAAAAGATAGGGTCACAGGTCAATCTTCTCATGAAACAACTTTTTACATGAAATTCTAGTTCTAACCTAAGCTAGGAACTTTTAAAAATGTATGATTTTAGTCACTAGAGGGACAAAAGTGAAAATAATGAAAAAATGAATACTGCAATTACTAATTTCTTCTATTTTAAAATACACTTTAATACTTGAAATAAGATATGACTAACAACACGATGAGAAAGCACTGTGTCATGGTTTAATTGATGTTATATTTTTTTCTTAGTGGCACATTAATAATGACAAATTTTCAGTTGATGAGTTATAAAGATCTAATAAGCCCCACTACAATGGACATAAGTTATGGGATTAGGGTAAACATAAGACAACAAACTGGAAGGACTTCCACATGTCCGTTTTTTAAAATAAAGACATTAGCTCAGATGCAGCATTATATCCTAGAGTACTCCTGCTATGATCAAGGCTAGTCCATAGGCTGGAATAAGATGGACTGTTAAGGTGACAGTTTAATGGTCTGATTTGTGCAGAAAGAGGGTTATAGAGTCTTAAAAACCAAAGAAGCCCATGTTATCACCTAGACTACAAAATAGCTTTACACAGTCTGTATCAAAAGCATATCACCTTTTGTAGGTTTTAGATTTCTTGCAAATAATTTATTTTTAATATACACCCCAAACTTCTGCTCTAAGATCACCAAGTAAGAGAGTTTTGGAACATCATAGATGAAAATAGGTCACAAGATCTTGTTTTGATTGTTAGGTCCTATTCCTAGTTTTGCTTTTAATGATATTTGGGAATTTTTTTCTCAGGATATTTAATCATAAGTTACAATGTAAAATGCTACATCAAGTCATTTATACATGTAGCAAGGAACAGCAATTAAAGAATATGAAGTTCCATTTAAAAAAATCCAGCTTATCTTATAACATAAATTTGTTACCTCAAATCTCATTTCCCAATGATTATTGCTGTGAAGTAATAATAAATAAAATAATTAATTATTCTTGGAAATAATTATAAAGTAGCAGGCAAAACCATTTTTCAAGTTGCTGTTCAAATATTCAAAAAGTAACTCAGGAAATAAATTATACCAAGAAAAGAATTTTATTTAGAAATGGTTATTTTATAAACTTAAGATATGTGCTTTGTATCATGCTTTAATTGGTGGTTTATAATAGTAGCAAATAAGGAAAAGGAAATCAGAGGCTTACCTCCCCAAGGAAGTCATTGGAAGAAAATCTATCATAATCCCAAACTGTCACCTCCAGAGTTTTCTTCTTGAGCTACAGTTCAAATAAAACTCTCATCAACCCCCTTTTTCCATCAGAAATTTTCATTATATTCACGTAATAGACTAATTTATTTTCACCCTTGAATCCTTTCCATTTGTGTAAAACCTCTTGAAATTCCATCTGAAACAATGTGGATTTATCCTAAACATTGTTTAAAATTTCAATGATTAGTTTGCAGTCCCTTCTACTGTTTGATCATAAGGGAACTCATTATTTTGTGAACAAAATGGCAACTCTCATTTCCTATTGTTCTATCCTACCCTCACACACCCATTTTTAAAGGTAACAAGCATAATCTAAGCAACCTTTGAATATAAGCAATCTTTAGATGGCAAAAATATCTAGGATTATTTAAAATATTTTGACATTTAAAAATATTTAAAATATTTTTGTTTCAGTGATTTCCAAAAAAAAATATAGTGACAGTATCTTATTTTTGCAGGTAAATTTCACTTACTTTAAAGAACTCAGCTTATAATTTATATCAGCTGCAACTTCATAATCAAATTAATCTTTCAGAGGACAAATTAAAGGCACATTTTGGAAAGATAATTTCCATATAAAACAATATAAGTTCTAACTGTTCTATTAGTATTCTCTTTTCTCTGAATTTAACCTTACAAACTTCATTTATTTTCTGTATTCATGGAAAGTTAAGATTTTTGAAAGCACATTGATGCAATTTTGCTTCAAATCACATATTTGTGGTGATGATATTTATGCTAGCCACTGTGATCCTGCTTCACAAATGAGCCTCATACTGCCACCTGTAAAGAGGCCTTGACTTAGGGAAGAGATGAATTCCTAAAATATTGTCTGGTGCAATAATCCATTTTGATGTGATGAAATTTGATGTTGTCTTTGTATCACTTGTGAAAGTCAAAATAAAGATAGTCAAAATAACTTTATAATTATAAGAAAAATATTCTTCCCAAAAGCATAAAGATAATCCACTCTATTAAAATATTTAAAAATTTTTTCATTGAAATAATCAATGGAAAACTTTGCACTTGTCTAATTTAATTTACTTATTTACTCATTTTTTGTGCGATTTTGTCAAAATACATACATCACTTTCATCTTATCTGAACTTCACTCATTTCTTTTCATTGGCTACATTTTTACATGTATTTTATGGAATTCTTGTTTATATGGCAAAAACTAATATGGATCCCAATTTCAAAAATTTTGCCATCCTATATTTATATTAACCCAAATCTGTCACTTGGAAAATAATCATTACTTACCTGTTCCATGGAAATACTTTTATAAATTACTGTTTGATTCCACTCAGGATTAAGACTTTTCTGAACATATTTAGTCCTTCTCTTGTACTCAGCACTGAATTGGAAGAAAAGAAAGAGCTGTTTTGATTATTCACCTTAACTGATGACTTCATAGTTAAATTGAAGGACATGCAGACTTTTCAAGATATTTCCTTCCAGATCACTGTATAATCATCCCATTATCCTCATGTCTTAAGGCTTATTTTAACTTGAATGTACAATGACAATTTAAAAATATGTTGCATGCCTTGAGTTTTGTTTGCTCTAATGAGTATTGTTTTTAAAAGAAATGCCTGTAGATGTTCTAACAATACTATAATTTTGGAAATCTTAATCTTTCCTGAATGTAGGAGATAATTGCACAAACTATATGGTAACATCAACATCTTCTTGTCCCATAAATACTAATGTGGTGTTTAACTTTCCAATGGTTTTGCATGTAATCAAGCCAGCAAAGCTATATTGTCTTTTAATTCATTATTTCTAAAACAAACCAAAAATAGCAATGAATGCATTAACTGAGTAAAGTATGAAGAATAGTTATTGCTATAGCTGAAATTTTGTAAACATTTATCTAATATATAAAGTATATTCTGATGCTTTTGGTAAAGTACTTTAACAATTTTAATTAAACATAAATTTTTAGCTGTTGAGAATCAAACTCTAGTTCACACCCACTTTTAGAAGTAGCTCTGCCATCTTCCCTCTCTCTGGCTTTATGCTCTTACCAGCCAGTTGCAGGTTGGTAATTCCCAACACTGATTGCAGAGTGGGTCACTTGGGGATCTGGGGTCTGGCAGGGGAACTAGAGGTAGTCAGCGTTCCATCTACACTTCCTTATACCCTGCATCCTCAAGGAGACTCTGATCTAATCATTTTGGTGAGAAGCTTGAGCCTATGGATTTTTGAAAGCTCCCAGTAAATGTAGCCTAGACTATGACACACTGGGCTTGTATCTCACAACACCTCACAAGTAAGCCATTGTGACCTGAAACCTATTTTAAAAATAAAGTGGTATTCTTCTCACTTTTAACCACCCATTTGAACATACAAAAATAAGGGCAGTATTTGATGATTTTGTCATTCAAGATAAATTGCAAACATCCTTGGGGAAATATAAAGAAAATCATTTAAAGAAAAAGAGACTCATATAATATATACTATAATATATACTGTTGACAGAAAGTATATTTGCACACACACTTCTTAGGTAACTTTGTTAATATCTAGAGAAATTTAAGTTTATATCTACTCAAACATCTGGAATATTCCACTTCTGTCCTAAAGAAGTTATCCCATCTGTACACAAGATATTTGTTCATTGCAATATTGTTCCTAATAATAAAACAATATTGTATGCAATATTATTTCTAATAGTAAGACACTAATAAAATGAATAATTATGATATATTCAATCAATTATATACTAAACTGTAGTTAAAATGAATTAAATATCCACATACAAAATATATAGATCTTAAAAGTATCTTTATCAAAAAATTTGCAGAAGGATAAATATATATACATGAAATAATATTATAAATTATCTAGTATACATGCATATAAGACATTTATGTAAATATAATATGATAAAAGGAAGTAGAGGTATTAAATTCAATCGAGTAGTTAGGTAGACAAGAACGTGACATCAGAAGGATCCAGGGGTCCCTTAAAATACCTTTTATTAAACATTGAAGTAAATATAACAAAATATGAGTATTTGGATATTTGATAAAACTAGATAAGAACTACATAGGTATTTTCTATAATTTTCAGTACTTTGTAACAAACATTCAAATATTTTGTTAAATTATGTCTCCATATATTTAGGATTTTTGTTTTGTTTTTGATGATGACATGGGAAGAATAATGTGACCACTTTTAAGTTAATAGCAAAGTTGTTCAGCTCTCTAGCACCATAGCTATTCCCATAGAAAATAAAACATGATAGTATGAGTTTTAAAACATGATAGTATGATTTTTAAAGTTTCTGCTTGTTTTGGACTTAGTTATCAAAGTGGCAAGATCATGGGAAAACCATAAAAAGGATTCATGATACAATGATTAGTAGTAAAATCATTTTTCTAAATTCTAAAAATTTGAATCTGATAATTTTAACAATTGAGAATAAATGTCAAATGCAAACTCATACTTTCACTAAAATTTTAGATATGTGTATATTAAAGTCATATGTAGTGTTGAAATGTTTTCAAAAGAATTTATCAGTGTCTTTTCTTAATTCATAAATATAAATAATTATTTTTAAAATTTTCATATTCACCTTTAGACCTTTTTTTTTTCAGTTACACAGGTAGTAACAATTATTGAATACTATTCTGTACCAGAAACTTTGCATCTCTATTAAGTTGTACAACCACATAATTCTTACTTAATTGTATTAACGTATGATCATATCTTTGATTATCATGAACAAGTTTGGTTCATGCATAAAAAACATTTATAAAGCAAGCATGCTAAAATAATAACTTTTATAAAATCCTTACTTTTTCTAGGCAGAGTTCTAAATTATTTTTATGTCTTAACTCAATTAATCCTCAAGTCATCCTTAAAAGACAGGTATTATTTGTCATCCTATTTAATAGGAAGAAAAACTGAAGCTTAGAGGAATTAAGGTGGGTTGGCAAGGTTGCATAGTTACCGATGGTCAGGATTAGGATTTAAATATAGAAAATATGATTCCTTGCTCTTAAATACATAACCTATGAACTTAATTGATTAGGCCCATCATAAAATGTCACTTATCCTTCTATTTGTTTAATTGTAGGCTTTATGAACAGGGTTGTCTAGTTTTTTTTATAACCTAAATTTCCCTACTTTAATTTAAATACTTGTTTTATATGTATATATACACAATATTGTATATTTAGTTACACAATATAAATTCTATATGATGTGTGTATACAAACACATGACACGAAAAAGTAGGCCACTTTTAGAGTTGCCTAGGGAAATTCTTAATGGCATACCTACATGAATATCATGGGACAAAAAGGGATAGTTATTGTAAGTATTTATTTTTTAACAGATTCATTCAAAGGCAACCTAAACTGGACACAAATTAAGCTGTCAATTTTATTTTATTTTTTTTAATTTTTATTGTGGGTTGTTCAAAACATTACAAATTTCTTGACATATCATATTCCAAGCTGTCAATTTTAAAAGAGCATTTTAATCTTATTAAGATATTTCGTTCCCTAATTCTCTCCAGACTCCAGATATTCATTGCCTTTAGGATGAATAGAGGTAAACATGCTGCCCCTACACCCCTGGACTGTACTGTGGAAACAATAAAATCTTCTGCCAACTTCTTTTTGCATTTGCAAACCTGACATGCAGAGCTGGCCACAGAGGCCATTTCTTCAATAACACTTGTATGTAAATAACATGTTATATCCATCTTTTGCATGATCCCAGCAGGCTGTGTAGCCATTTCACCTAATTGAAAACCTGCTATAATTCTCAAAGCCATGTTGAAATCTGTGGGTCACAGGTAGAGGTGGGCAGCTAAGCTGGGGGATTCTTGAATGTGAGAATAAATTCAGGCTGAGAAACAGAGTTCACTCTTATTTTCCTTTCTTGTCTGGTATATGCATGGCAGTACATTACCTCATGGAAGATTACGTTAATGATATTACACTATGACAATTAGGTCATATCTCATAATCAAAGATTTATTAATATGGGCAAATAAAAAGTCAATTTGTTAAGAAAAACATGGTGTTTATCTTAATATATATGTATATTTTAATTTTTATCCCCTTGAAGTTTTGACTGATTTCCTTTTTCTTTCGTTTGCTTTCATTGGCTATTCTGTAATAGGGAGATGCTTTTAAGGAAGTCTCAAGAAAATATTTAAATTCAATTATTCCACCTAAACCAGCAGAGAACAGAGTTCTCCACATCTTTTCAATTTTAAAAGAAAAAAAATGAGGAAAAATAGAATGTGATAACTTCTTTGTATTTATTTTCGTATAATTAATTATGTAAAACCCTGGAGTCTTCTTTTATTTGGTTTTCCTCTACTGGTCTCACAATGTTTGTGTGTATATTGAAAAAAAAAAAGGTGCAGTGCATACCCCATCACCCCATTATGTAAGCTTTATTCTTCTAAGCAGCAGTGTATTTATCATCTGTCACTTAATTTTCCCAGTTGTTCCCTGAGAGTAGAGATTATCACTGTGTTGTCAACTTGAACCCCAGCACTTTGCACATATCTGGCACATAATTATGCTAAAAAAATTTGTTGAATACATCCTTAAAACATGTTTGTACTTCTTTGTTTTCCTTTAAAATTCATTTGAAATAAAATAACTTTTGGCTATTATATTGCACATGCATCTAATATCCATCCCAGAGGAAATAGTTTGTTTGATATGTTAACAATGATGTTTAGAGAAAGTCCAAAAAAAATAATTGAGTTTCCAGGCCTAATGATAGCTAAACCTAGTTAAAATCATAGGAAAATCTCATTAATGAAAAAGAAATGTGCACTTTGCCCAACAGTGTGAAGAAAGACCAGAAAGAGACACTTCAGATATATTCATTTCCACTCCTTAATTATCCAGGGGTGTATATTAGGTTCATGAATTATTTGGGTTCCTTCCTTGTTATTCTTTCACCTCCTCTGGTCTGACATTTATTCTCTCAGAGCTTATGAGTGTATTAATCAAAGACCAGGAAGAGGAAATAAGAAGAAATGAGAAAAAGGAATCAGTGTCATTTTTAATTAGCTAATAGAACTTGTATTTTTTAACTTTAATGTTCTGCAATTTGTTAATAAAGAAAAGTTGTTTGATTTTCTTAGTTTTGTTATATAAGTTGGTATAATTGAATAACCCAAATATGCCAGATTACCCTATCCTCACTTTTTTTTTCCAGAGATAACTGACCATTGGCTACATGAAGTTTATATTTATCACTAGCAATTATAATAGCAACTACCATTGGCTGAAAGCTTATTATGTGCCTGGTATTATGCTTATCACTTTGATTCATTACCCATATATTTCACAAAAGTCCTCTGGAATAGAATATTATTCCTGGTTAGTAGAGGATAAAATAGTTTTAGGTAAATCTCACAGTTTCTAAGTGACAGGGGTGAAACTCAAACCCAAGTTCTTTTCTTTTTTCAACTTTGGTTCTGTGCTACTGGGGATTATACCCTGAGCACTCCACCACTAAGCGACACCCCCAGGCCTTTTCTTATTGTAGTTTGAGGAAGGGTCTTGCTAAGTTGCTCAGACTGACCTCAAACTTGTGATCCTACTGCCTCAGCCTCCTGAGTCACGAAATTACAGGCATGTGACAGCATGCCTGGCCAAACCTACATTCTTAAGGACTTCATTGACTGGCTTCCATAGTACAACTTAATTTCAGGACCTAGTCATTACAGTTACCGCTTATACTGATGATTCTTAAAGACACACTGAAAATGACTTTTAGATGAAAGACTTACTTCTAGAACTTTCAAACTGTAACCCAAGATGCTCCAGACATTCAACCTTTATTTACATTGACAAATCCTGGAAGCTAAATGCAATCACTACTATGATGGTGCTTTCCCCCCATTTCTCTAGATAAAAGACCCAGAAATTCTGAATAATATTTTATGTGTGTGTGTATTGAAAAAAATAGGTACAGTGCATACCCCATTGTGTAAGCTTTATTCTTCTAAGCAGCAGTGTATTTATCATCTGTCACTTTATTTTCCCAGTTATTCCCTGAGAGTAGAGACTATCACTGTGTTGTCAACTTGAACCCTAGCACTTTGCACAGTATCTGGCACATAATTATGCTAAGAAAATTTTGTTGAATGAAGTGTACATTTCTTTCTCATTAATGAGGTTTTCCTATGATTTTAACTAGGTTTAGCTATCATTATGACTGAAAATTCAATTATTTTTGGACTTTCTCTAAGTAACATTGTTAAATATCAAACAAACTATTGAAAATATTTTTGAATAATGTGATTGAAAAAGTCTGTTCTAAAAACAACACTCTCTCTTTGAAACAGAACAGATTTCACATATCAGCCCAAGAGAACTGGATGAGTGAACTAGTCCTAAGAAGAAATCCATCACTGTGTCAAAGTGAGAAGTTAATTGAGATTTACTGGACAGATTATAAATGAAAAGTTTAGTTCTGTCTAATTTCAGCGTGATAGTTCCATGTTTGCTTTCTGTTTTTAATATTTTCTAGTTTTTAATATTTTGTACTTTTCTGCATCTTATTGCACATACCTGCTAAAGCTATTTAGAAATGTGGTCAGAAAAATTTGCTGTAGGCCTAATTCAATAGATACAAGAAAATAGAAAAAATAAATGTTAAAACTCAAATCGAAGTGCAAGTCAATGTATATAACAATACAAAAAGTACAATTCTAGGCATAAGAACATTGCTTGACACTGAAAGAGAGTCAACTCTACCTTGCATTCTGGACAACCATGACTTGACTGCATTGATTCCAAGAGCGAGAATGAAGGACACAACAGGAAAGTAGGAAAAAGAGGAAGAAGGAAGTTAGGAACAGAAGTAAGGAAGAAAACACAAGAATAATAATTAGAGAAACTATATCATAACAGATAAACGACATGAGGCAGAAGTTCATCTTAGAAGTACAGTGAAAAAATACTTCACTAATAAGTCTCAATGCCTTAGTCACTGCAATAATTAGGAGTAATTTAGTGAAAGAGTTAGGAGTTGAATATCAGTAGCATATTAGCTGAATTTAAGCTAAATTCCACTCATTAGGATATTTTCTTGAAGAAATTACATGAGGGTAGCTGGAGGTGAGGCTTTCTATCTCCATTTCACTATAGTTCTCATTATTCCCTGTTATTTTCTCTAGAAGGGACTGACATACTTACATTGCCTGTCTGTCCCTTTTTTTGGTTATTCAAGTTTGTAACATTCTAATTAAAATATATCCTGTATAAATAAAAGATAGGTACCTTCATGTAGGATAAAATACTTTTGTTCATTTATTTAAAAATACTAATTAGAGACAAACCTTTGAAAGTAATTTCCCCTTGTTTCATAATACTGTCATTAAGTAACACTAGAGCTTTAATGACCACAATTAAAGTCAGAATGTAGTTTTTTTTTGTCATTTTTGTCATACTCACTTTAAAAGATATAGCCATGCAACTACATACATGTATAAATAAATTAAAATAAGAGATCTCCATTTTTAGGTTATGTGGCTAGTGGGTAATCTCTATGTGACATTATTGAGGGTTTAAAAAATGCTTGATAAATTAAAGCTAGAACAAACATACCAACTATTCTAAGTTTCTAAATGGAATTTTGGAAAAGGATGAAATTAAAGCCTGTCTACTGAATTTAACTTGGCACCTTGCATTTTTCAAATTATTTTCTGAGTATTACCTAATTTATTGCCTCAGAAAAAACATAAAAAACTATGGTTCTCCTCCCTATCTCTCTCAATAATAACCAGAAGCCAAATTTCAAAGAAATTGATCATCTACCATAATGATACACAATAAATAGCAGATATAAGTGCAATGTATGACTCTAATTTGAATCCCATTCAAAACAACCAACTATAGACAGAAAACATATTTTGTAGGATTTCAATGTTCGCTTTGTTTGTGTGTGTGTGTGTGTGTGTGTGTGTGTGTGTAAAGAAAATAGTTTTGGTGAATGCCCCATGTGTACTTAAAAAGAATATGCAAGTTGCTATTGATGGATAGTGTGTTCTATAAATATCAACTAGGTTCCCAATCAAGTAGGAAAATATTATGAATCAACAGGGAAAATAAGAAATTATTGGTAAATTTAAAAATTATGTTTATACATTGCTATTATGATTGTTTTAAAAGTCCTTATTTTTTAGATACGTATATTAAAATATTTGCATAGAAAATTACAATAGATGAAATTTATTTCAAAACAATCTGGGTAGAGGGAATGCATGAGGGTAAACATGGAACAAAACTGCCCAGTAATAATAATTCTTGAAGATGAGTGCTAGGTACATGGTGGGTTACTGTACTAGTCTCTCTTCTTCTATAATACCACAGTAAAAATATTCCAAGCAAAAAGTAATATTCAAATGTAATTCCCCAGATTGAAAGAAAAAAATAAAGAAAAAATAAAATTTGTTTCGTCAAATTACCAACCAAGATTTTTTTTTATTATACCTCCATTTGTTGATTACTTTATGGTTTCATCATGCTAATTTGGCTTATATAAATTGTTCAGATAAAACCAATTTGTAGTAGTCAAATCACTGTTTTGAAAGCACCCTTGAGTAGTGATTCACATGTTAGAACATCGAAATTAGCATTAATTATATGAAGATTACACATCTTGAAAGAGCACTTATCTTTTATTTATTAATTTTATTTGGTGCTGGGGATTGAACTTAGGACTTCAAACATGCTGCACATATGTTCTCAGCAACATGCTCAGCCCTAGGCACTTACTTCATGTCAACAAGGTATATGTCATAGAAGAGATTCAGACATATTTTCTATTTACTTACCCAAGTCAACCAACCACTCAAATATTGTTCTTACTTATTATTATTTTTAAAACATTGATATTTTAAAATGTGTGGGAAATATACATATAAATAGGGGCATATCAACAAGCCATTTAAAAAACATACATATTGGAAAATATACACATTTATAAAACAGCAACTAAATATAGATTTTTAAAATAAATTTGGAAATGAAAACTAATTTTTTACATCTACCACAGAGAATTTCTTATCTGATTTCATAACCTGATTGGTCATCACAAGAGTGGTTCCAAGAATTGAAATGTTGATTTATTCCAGAGGATGCCTGAGTTGTGATTACTGCTATTTCAGAACTCTTTAAGGATTAATTATGAATTTTTAATTTCATATTATCTACTAATTAGAAATTTAATTTTGTCATGTAGACAAAACTAAAGAAAGGGTACTAAATTGAGGTGAGGTTTTGGAAATCAGAGATTTTGAATCCTGGGCTCTTGTACTTGAAAGACATTGCTTCTTCACTTACCCTCGCCCTGGAAGAAGGTAGACTTTAACAAAAGGGTCAGAATAGCCATTGTTGTCTCGAGGGACTAGGTTTCTTGCTTGGAGAATATGTATTATGAGATTCCCAAGGTCATAGTTGATTTGAAGCTTTAGGGGACAGCAAAATAGTCCATGAATTTATTTAAACACGAAATACATTATCACTAAATATCCTACCAGTGTGTTTTCATAATCTTATAAATAAGAAGCATCAACCCTCATTTCCATTTGATTTGAAACTAAACAGACCACTTAAGATTTAATTTAATTGGGAGCTCCCAGGCACATTTTAATTTCTAGTAAACATGCTGTTCATTCTTTTACAGTGAAAAGCCTGGCCTATCTAAAGTTCATTAAAAGGAAAATGATACAACAAATGCAAGTTTTACTTTTTCACTAAATTTCTACTCTTAGGAAAATACTACATATTGCTAATATTCATAACTACAATTACCAGGATTTTGAAGCTAAATAACTGGTAAATTTATTATAAAATGCTATTTGTATTTCACAAATGTTACATAATATCAATACTGAGATGTTAAGAATATTTGAGAATGTATAGATTTTACCACTTCCTCCTTTGCATGCATTGATGTCAAACCTATAGCCTGTCTTTCTTTGCCTATTTTTCTTATATAGTGAGAGACTTAAATTTAATCTTGTTGTTTAATTTTAGAAGCTGAAGAAGAAATAAAAGTAGTGGTCTCAGAGATGCTTATTAGCTGTGGCACATTGTCATTGAATAGTAAAAGACTTATTTTTTTTCATATGAATGTGTATATTTTTATTATAATTGTCATGGCTTTATAAACATACACATACATATATAAAAGCACATAAATACATATGAAAAGTTTCTATAATATAGTGTACTAATATTTTAACAAATTTATTGAGGTTTAAGCCTGGATATTTTGTATCAGTGTTTCCATAGAACTCCTTGGAGTTTTTTAGCATGATCTGAGTGATATTCTGTTATAAATATAATATCTTCTCAAAGACAGTATAAACTTTGAATCTTAAAATATTTCATATCCCTATATATTTAATATACTTTACCTAGATATTTATTCTTCTGTCAGTATCCAGTAAATTAAATAGCAATCCTTAAATTGATTTTAGATAGTAATTTTTAAAAACCTAGGCTTAATCAAAGAGCTGTTTTATCAATGTTTAAAATATCTCAATATATTTTCTAAGGTAACAACTGCCATATTTTATTAATTTATGATCTTATTTTATTCTTACAGAGATTTTTCCTTTTCACATTTCCTTTGATTACATGGAAAAAGAAAATTAATTATTACTCCTGAGTCATTTTCAAACTACTAGAAACTCATGGGCTTTTCTTTGCTTAAAATTAATTCAAGACATAAAACATGCAAATGGAAAGACAGACAATAGGCATTTCTATTAATATTTGGGTCTGTTTATGTATGTCTGTATATATCTATCTATCCATTCATCCATCCATCCATCCACCCATCCATCCATCAATCCCTCTGTCTAGACATATTTTTATTGGTTGTTCAAAACATTACAAAGCTCTTGACATATCATATTTCATACATTTGATTCAAGTGGGTTATGAACTCCCATTTTTAGACTTATAATTCAAACAAATATTTGAGAAGCTGACATATTCCATCATAATTAAGCTAACTATTTTTTCTCTTTCATAATTAGAAGATTCTTTTGGCATCATTTAGAATAAGCCTTAGTTCTTTTTGATATACTTTTGTTTACCAAATAGTAGAAACAGAAAGATCTGTATTCAAAGGGGAAATCCATAAATAAAAATACTAACATTTTCTTATAATCCATACAAAATAGATATGCAGAGTTTATATTAAAACTGGGACAACTAAATGAGTCAACCCTTCATTTAAAACTTTATAATTGAAATAAATCCTCATTTTAGTATAATTTCAATCTAGTTAAGTTTCCTGGCAGAATATGAATCTCTAATTGCCTGACTCAGTCCAGAAAAGCCTAGAGTCTCTATGATCATCATAAAAGCCATGTGAATGATGAAGTAGTAGACCCTAAGGAAGATAAATGGGAAGTTTAAATTGTGTATCATAATGTGGTACTGAAACATAGAATAATAAATTATCTGCAATTAATTTCCCTGAAATTTAGTACAGCTCCCAAATCATGGAGAGAAGTGTTCCTTTTTCTGCCAGACCTGGAGTTCACTTTTTACTGGTAAAGTGCCAAAGCCATTCCTTATTGAAATGAAAACTTGCAGGCTACCCCAAGAAAGTGCATTTCAAAATGTGCTCTTATGGCTTTAAAGAACATCTAGAGATATTCAGGGCTCAGTTCTGAGACAAAAGAGGATACTGCCAGTGACCACAGTCACACAGCTCCAATGCTTACAGATTCATAATCTGGCTTTCTATATAAAATTCCATTTGGAATCAGGTTTTGATAAAGACAAAAATACTGAAATTACTGCCTCAAGAAAATATCCTAAGCATTAAGAATAATATTGTTAGGACAAATTTCACCTACAGAATCAAATCATGGTGCTCAAGGAAAAGACAAATAAAAGAAGAAAAATAAAAATAAAAGAAGAAAAATAACAAAATGACAATAAACCCAAAGGAAACACGATGAATAATAGTCCAAAGGCAAAAATTTTAAAACAAAAATTGAGATAGAATCAAAAATTCTGGTATTCTCTTTATGGTATGTCAAATGATGAAAGACAGATGAAATACAGGCTTCCTAGAAGTGGGGAAGCAACAGAGAGAGCAAGATCTGTAATGCATGAAAAATCAGACTCAATCCTGCTACTTACTTGTAAGTAAGGTTTCCACATTCTATACTTCTCCATTTTCACACTCACCCCCCACTTTTGCTTTTATTTATATGTGCCTAGATAATTGCTTAATTGATAATTTTGGTCTTCATGACTCCATTTCACAGTATTTATTGTAGTCACTACATAGGGATTTGTATTACTTTTTTTTTTAATTAGTCTTGCTTTCACTGCAATTAGTTAGTCATCAGGCTACACTATGTAGCAATTAATATCCCTTGCTGTGTCCAAGTTCTTTCTAATTTAGCCTCAAGCTATCTCCCAGCTGATCTCCTTCTTTTACTTTCTGAATGCCATGCCTTTCCTTTTACTCCTTCTTCTTCCAGGAACACCCTCACCCACTTTCACTATGCTTATCCTCAAGTTAGTCCATATCTTTGTTATCCTTTGTGAAGGTGTTTATGAAAATTTACTCTAGAGTTTGTCGGAGACTGAGCTAAGAGTGTTGCTTTTCCTTATCTGACACTATTTACAAACTTAATTTATTGTGATAATTCTTTCTGTGTCCTTTCTTATCATCTCCATTTATTTGTGTTATTACTTAAAGCATAGTTTTTCTAATATTTCTTACTATGATCCACACTAAGAAATACAATTTTACAATATGCAAATACAGAAACACACACACATATTTTAAAATGATGGTGATCTATACTATTTTTGTTCTATTTTCCTAGTCAAAAGTTTTTCAATTGATTTCATAAATGATAAAGTCCTTTTACCTACAGTATGAAAAATGCTTCTCTACAATAATCATTCAGCAATTGTTTAGCAAATATTGATCAAAAATAAAAAAAGGCAGAATTAGATTTATAAAACTCTTAAACATAAACGATTGGATTTCTGGGAAAATTGGTTATAGTTGAAATATTCAGAAGTATTCAGTCACTGAAACACAAAAAATAATTGACAATGCCATCAGACAGATTTCAAAGTAGAGAATTCCAAAGGTATAATTAGATTTTATAAAGCATAATTTATATAAATATATTGTTATAAAATTTAATTTTCCTGAATAGTTCTAATATGTTATGGAAAAAGAAATATCCTACTATATTTACAGTTTCAATAGACCAGTGGCAAAAATAGTCAAAAAAGATGGTAGAATGACAACTTTTTAAAAACTTTCATACCTGAATTTCTCCTGTAATTGGATGAGAGACAACCTTTGTTGCATCAGTAGGCTGCAATATTAAAGACCATGCATTATTTTAAGAGATAAATTATTCATAGAATTTATCATTTCAACTTTATTCTGAAATTAATTTCTATTTTTTCAGAGCACACTGCCTGGAAAATATATTTCATCCATTTGGTTGCTTCAGAATAACAGGATCCACTTATATTTCTCAATACAAGTTTAATTTAATAGATATATAAAATCTATTATTCATTTTGCTAGGCCAGTTTTGAAGCTGTCATTTTATACCAGCAATATTTTAAATTACTTAGGAAAATGAACACTTTTGGTTTAAAGTACTTTGTTAAAGTATTTAGAGATTTTTAAAGATGTATATAGTAATGAAAAAGAGTTTCTACACAAGACCTGCCTAGGAGCACAGAAGTTTTAATAATAAAAGTCCTTTTTTATGCTTGCTGGGTACTCAGCTACTTCCTGCTCCCTCCCAGAGTAAATCACCAAGTGGTCGCTTCCTATTAGAGGATGATGTTTAATTAAAATTCTATCCATTACAGATAAGTTCTCATCTATTTGATAATTTCTTTTACAAATAAGCCTTTAAAGCAATGTGATATCAATGTAGAGGAGAGGTTTACAGAAGCAAATCTTTCCCCGTCTTTATTTATTTAGAAATGAGGGCACTAAAAAGAAGATAGCTTTATTCCAAGTCTTGTTTTATGAAATAACAAAAGACTAACATTTATGTCATCACTGATAAAGTTATGGGGGTGAGGGCTAAATATTCTAAGTCACATATCCTTTATTAGTTCAACTAGTTTATTTAAAAACTACATTTAGTAAAACTCAAACTGTGCTCTGGCTCCAAAGTATAAACTATTATTTATTGAACACATATTCATTTAATAGTTTTCTATTTCAAAAAGACAAATAAATCTTGAGAAAAAAATGGTTCACACTAATTCCTGTTACTATTTATATTGGAATTGAAGATTTAGAGTTTCTTCAAATCAGATATCTTGAACCTTTTAAAAATCAAAATTATTTATTTTTTATTTATTTAACTTTAAAAAATTCAGTTGATGCATAATTTACATATTTATGGATACAGCATGGAAGTCTGGTAAGCACTTAATAAACAATATACAATGTATAATGATAAAATCAGGGTAATTAGCATTGAATGGGGCACAGAGAGACTAATGCTGCATGTTTTCATTCACATAAAGATAACAGATAAGTTGATCTCATAAAAGTAGAGAAGAGTATTCCATAGAGGCTAGAACAAAAAGAGGGGAAGTGGAAGCAAGGTCAAATAGCAGAAGCCAAAATACAGTTAGACAAGCGGAAAGAACTTTTAGTGCTCTAAGGCACAATAGGGTGACTACAGTTGATAATAATGCATTATACATCTCAAAATTTTAGAAGAAAGAAATTCGCAGATTCATAGAACAAACAAATAAATCTTTGTGTCTTGACACATAGTTGGGGAATAACTGAACAAGAATCCCTCACCCTAGGGTCTCCACGTAAAAATAAAAAATGGTTACTGATAAACTGTTTCATTTGATTTCCCTTTGAGAACTCTATTTCATTTGACATATGACCATGGAAATATATTTAGTGAGGAGAATAATCAAATGGGTCATTTTTAGTTGTCCTGAGGTTCTGGTATATATATATAGTTGGATATTTTTAATTATGGAGAATAAAGGCCAATATCTATTGGACCTAGCTATAAAAGCAAAAATAGACAAATGAAATTAAATCAAACTAAAATGCATGGCAAAGGGAAAAATTAACTGAACGAAGAGGAAATCTACAGAAAGGAGAATATCTGCAAACGATATATCTAACAGATTAATATCAAGAGTATAAATGGAACTCTAAAGTCTCAAAAGCAAAACAAAACAAAAATAAAACACAAATAACCTAATTTAAAGAATTATCAACAGACCTAAATAGACATTTCTCAAAAAGAAGATAAACATATGTCCAGGGACATGAAAAGTGTTCAATATGAATAATCATCATGAAAATGCAGATCAAAATCACAATGAGTGATCACCTCACTCAGTAAGTAAGAATGACTGTTATCAAAAATAATGGAGTTAAGTGCTGGTGAGTATGCAGAGAAAAAGAAATCTCATGCACTGTTGATGGGAATGCAAAATTAGTCCAGCCATTATGAAAAGCATTATGGAGATTCCTCAAAATTAAAAAGTAGAAATTAGAGCTGGGGCTGTGGCTCAGTGGTAGTGCACTTGCCTGGCATATGTGAGGCACTGGGTTCGATTTTCAGCACCACATATAAATAAATAAAATAAAGGTCTATCACAAACTAAAAAATATATTTTAAAAAAACTATAACTACCACATAATCCAGCAATCTGAATATTCTGTTATATCCAAGGAAAAGAAGTCAGTGTGTAGAAGAGACATCTGCATTCCTGTGTTTATTTGTAGTATTATTCACAGTAGCCAAAATATGGCAGTGTCAAGCTAAGTACCCATCAGCTGATAAATGGGTAAATAAAATGTGGTACATACACACAATGGAATGTTATTCGGCCATTAAAAAAAGAATGAAACACTGTCATTTGTGACAACATGGATAGAACTGGAGACCATTTTGTCAGTAAAGTAACTGATGCACAGAAAGACAAATACTGAATGATCACACTCATATGTGGATCTAAAAATGTTGACCTCATAGAAGTTAAGATTAGAATGGTGATTATCAGAGATGCAGGGAGATGGGGTGACGGGAAGGGGCGTGGCTAGTACATGTGTATAATGTTACAGCTAAACAAGAGGAATAAGCTCTAGTGTTCTATGGCATAGGAGGGTGAATATAATCAAGAATATTGCAATAAATACCTCAAAATATTTAATAGAATTCTAAATGTACTCACCACGAAGAAATGATAAAACTTTATGGTGATGGATATGTTAATTACCTTGACTTGATCATTACCCAGGATATAGTTGAAACAAATGATAAGAATGTACATAATAGATATATGTTAAGTCAACCAAAAGCATAAAATAATAAAATGCTAATATATATGCTCTAATATTTATATATAAAATTATGCTAATTATGATTTAAATATTTTAGTTTTATTACATTGTATTACATTAAAAGAGCTTATAATTTAATATTTAATTAGTCTCATACCAAATGAAGCATAAAGAAGTTAAAATTATCATTTTCAAAATTATCTTATGAACATATATTTGGATATATTGTAACCTGATTTAGGGACATGTAAGCTTCAGATCATCACTTGATGTTTTTATAATCTCAAAATAATTGTTTTTAATTTTAGGATTTGAGGAACAAATAAAAGTATTGCCTTTTATGCATACTACATGTTAATGGGTTAAAAATATCATTAACTTTATTTATTTATTCATTCATTCATTCACTTAACAAAAATGTTTTAATAAACTCTATATGTGCTAAAAAAAGATAGATAATAGCCCCTCCCTTCTACAGTGAAAACATACATTGAGTACAGTTTTTCAATAAAGAATATGTATATATTTATATATATATATCCAAAATAACAAGATTTGATTAAAGTTACTATCAGTAGAGTTGACTAGTCTCCATACAAGTATTATTCAATAGATTTTACTGTGTGCCACATAAGTAATTTTAAATATTCTAGTAGTCACACTAAAAATACAAAAATATACATTGAAATAATTTTAACAGCATGTTCTATGTAACCCCATTCATTCAAAATATTATCATTTCACATATCAACATGAAATTGCAATAAAATATTTTACATTCATTTTCTTCATACTATCTTTGAAATATTTGTCACCTGAAAGTTATATAGAGAGCAGCTCTCATTAGGACTAGCCACAAGTGACGAGGAGCTACTTTATTAGATAGTATAGCCCTACAACTTAGCATTTCAGCAAAAATACTGTAATACTACATATGCCCACATACTTGACATAGAAAAGAACTGCTGAATATCATAAAACTTCTCAATGTGATTTCCTTAATGTTCCAATACAACTATTTTAATCTTTTAATCATCATGTAAGATGTTAAAATATTACAATAAGTCAACTTTGTTCTCCCATAATACTCATCAGGTTCACAAGTGACCACTGATGTTTTCATTCACAAATATTTATTTATTTTGCTTTTGTTCTGTGCAATTTACTCAGCTATGAGTTAAAGGTGATATAAATTAATATGTAAATAAGAAGTGGTTGTTAACTCTTATGGAGTTTGTAGCCCAACTGTGAGGGTTAAACAAGCAAACAAGTAATTACAATTAAAATATAAATTATCTTGAGACATATAAAGCATTTTGCACTTTGGAGGGAGGAAGGAAAAGAATCATCTGATGTTAGGGAAAGACCACAATATGCAAAGATTTCTGGTCCTCATATATTTTTGCTTAAAGCCCATCACTGTTCTTTATTACCCGCAAATGGTAATAGAAAGGTTAGGAACAACCTACAATATTCTCCAAATTTTGATTGTTTAGGCTTCAACTCTCTTACCCTTCTAGATTCTGTACACCTATGTAGGCAACTTTCTGTTTGTGAGATTTTCTTCATGCTGCACTCTCTGCTTGGAATGTTGGCCCCTTTCCCCTGTTACCACAGTTGTTCCATTAAATACCAGCTTTCCTAACTATTCTCCAGGAGTGCTCACTCTACATCTTAGTGGCTTCCAACTTTATACCTTCACTGAATTTGACAAATGATTTTTCACTAGTAATTAGATCAGCACTTCTCAAAGTTCAAGAGGCATCATACCCATTTGGAGAACCTACTAAAACCCAAGTGTCTCTGAATCCCATTTCCTGAGTTTCTGATATAGTAGGTCAGGGGTTGGGGGTCAAAATTTTTAATTTCTAACAAGTTCCCAGGTGAAACTTGTTAGAAATGCAAAATTTGATGTTCCTGGACTGGGAGCTTGCTTCAAGAACCACTCATTGGTCTACCTGGTATGGAGGGATTTTTCCATCTTTGCATCTTGAGTATAGAGCATGTGGCATTGAAAATATCTGAGGAAAATGGGGATAGTTTGGAAACCCTAAATAAATACATTGCTTATTGCAAGAATATTAGTCAATATTTGACAACATTGTGCTTACTATGATAATTTCCCAAGGAAAACATTTGACTCAGCCCTTATAGAACAGGTAAAATATGGCCAAAGAAAGAAATGGGGCAGAGGAGATTCCAGGTAGAAGGGATGCTTTTTAAACAAAAGAGTGACATAATTAGATAATTTATAAATTGTCTTCATTGTAATCTTATTTTATAAGGATAAAAAAGTTAAATTTGTGTTCCCTTTTAACTCCCTGAAATTTTAAAATAATGGTATTAGAAGCATTTGTTTCAAATGAAGATGTACATTATTAAAAAAATTGATTAGTGTGGAAATGTGGGTAAAATTCAAACTGGTGATAGTATTGTTTTTATTGTCCTAAATTTTCCTTATCTCTATACATTTTTGTTTTTTACTTTTTACTTACATTATAAATCTTATGTAATGTTTAACTTTTCTTTCCAAAATAGTTGTAAAGCCAATGTCTTCTACACAAAGCTCAGATTCATACAACAACAAAGAAAAATAACCAGAAGATATGAAACATCAGATACATTTTCAAATTCCTCATGATAATCATTACTGAAATATTTTGAGAGGTGGACATAAATCATCTTGATACATCTTGATTAGTTACACAGTCAGAAAAGGAAAAATGGTTTTTGTTCCAAAAGATCATAGAAAATGAGATATCACAAGAAAATCACTTTAGAAAATTATGTTTTATTTCCTGTCCCCTGGTCTGAGTCAAGAGCTCAGAAAAGTGACTCAGAGGTTACACTGAACACTTCTCACCTTGCTGCTGCTGTGCTTCTTTTTGCTCACTGAGGGTGACCCAGGCTGCCCAGGGCTGGGAACAGAACTGGATCCTGCTGATGTGGGACCCGAATGAGCATGAGATCCCTTCTCAACCACGGAGGACATGACCAGAGGTGACTGCTGTAGTGAAACCTTTTGGAGCTCTGCTGCCAGCTGTTTAGGATCAACCCCTGGGGATTTCGCTTTGTCCACTACAACAAAATGAAACAGTTTTACATACTTCTTTATTTTTTACATACTTCTTTATTAAGTACCTAATTTTGTGGAACTTATTGAAGTCCTATGTGACAAAATGCAAACTGTGACTTATAAACTAAGCTAAGGTTTCAAAATTAAATCAACTTAATTGCAACTCTCTGGATCAATTTCTGAGGAAATTTAGAAGACCCCCCAAAAAGGGACATCCTGATGGATTACAGAGGAACACAGAAGTGCCTATCATCTTCAGAGAATTTTTAAAAATATTTTATCAAAAAAACTATGAATGACATGATATTTTATTCACCAAAATTCACTTGTATGATCAGATTCTTTTCCTTCTCTAAACTTACTCATCTCTTTTTAAGGGGGAAATTTTACTGAGAATATTAACATTAATAAATGTGTTAAAATTCCTATAGTACTTGGTCTGTTTAGTGCAGATTTTTTAAACCCAGACTTTAGAATTGTCACTTTAATCATAGGAAGTAATTGATAAAAGTTAAATAAAGAAAAAAGTGATACTTTTAGTCTTACAATAAATCTAATAAATGTGTACATTTGTTATTTAAGGAAGAGTTAAGTTTTACATTATCTACTTATGAAATTATGTGTTGATTTTTATTTATTATAAAAAGCAACCAAAAGGATCTGGAATTAGTGTTTCAAATGTCAGTTATAGGACTGGGCGTGCATTGCAGTGATACAGCACTTGCTTAGCATCTTAGCATGCACAAGACCCTAGGTTCAATCCTCACTATCACCAAACCAAACCAAAACAGTTATATTGAAAAGAAATAAGTCAAATAAGTATTAACTAAAAAGTATATAAGATCAAAAGAAAATGGCTACATGGATTATTTTCACAAAATGAATTTATATTTAAAGGATTAAAAATGTGAACTCACACAGAAACGATTTCATAAGAATTTCTTACTGAGTTTAAGAGGCAAACATGTACTACCCCAGCATGTTAAAAACATAGCTACAGTGTTTTTGATTTTGTTAAAATTTAAATAGAAATATCTAACTTTGTCAATATCTGTTTATATCTTCATCTACAGCTACATTTGCCTCTATAACTCCTTCTCTATTTACATCTTTATCTATAATTGAAAGCAGATTGCTTCTACCTACCAGCTTTTGGTGGCTCATGAAGTTCCAGGTGCTGAGGATTTTCTGAATCCGATAGCATGTTGAGGTCCCTAAAAATTAAGACATAACATTAAGAAAGAAATTGAGCAAGCCTGAGACAAAGGACACTTTTTTCCAACTACCCTCATTTTTTTTTTCAGTAGGTAAATGAGAAGTGGTTAATGACATAAAGCAACTTCAAAGCATGCTCACCCTTCTAAACCAATATATATTTGCAATGCTTTTAAAAGTCAGAGCTGACAAAAATGATTATTTAAGGTGAAATCTTTATGGATTAAATGTAAGTTCATTTGAGATAACCACACACATCCATGAAATCTAAATGGCTTTAGGCTTTCTTTTAAATGAAGCATGTTTCAATAAAAGCATGAAAGGGGAGAGCTATTGACATATTCAGAAACTAAATTAGCTGAATTCTGTCTATGCTTTAGACTTAGATTCTGAACAAAAATCTATGAACTTTGTATTCACTTTAATTTCTAATTACTGGAATTCTTGCTGACTGGCAAAGGTTCCACCTTAACAATTTTAAATTAAAAGAGCCATGAATAGCCAAAAAATGGAAACAGAAAGATGGGGAAAAACTCACAGTCTTACACATATTTCTGCTTCCCCATTTTGCTGACTAATGATACTCTGTACTTCTTCATATGTTTTAGAAGTTAAGGGAATTCCATTCCATTCCAATACTTGCATCCCTAAAAAGAGAAATTTGAGTATAAAATTAAACATGTAAGCTATCTCTATTCTCGGTCCACAGGGCAGAGAAGACATTTCTTTGCGTTTAAAAGTCAACTCGGCACACCATTTCAGAGAACATCATCTCAAACTTCTCTGGAACATTTTGTAGTTTGATTTCATCAACTTACGTGAGAACACAAAATATATTTAATACAACATGCACAATTTTGCCTTCGAAAACCTATTCATGTTAGCAAACACATGCATTCTGTTCACACTGCTATCAAGAAAACATTGAATATATATTGCTTGGACCAATTTTGTTTAGAAAATGAACAGTTACAACTATCCATATAATTTGCCTTTGGGGAGCAAACTACTAGAAAAGCATGGACTTCCATATTCTATCATGGAATGGTAGTGGCAGAAAAAAAGTCATCAAGATTTTCTTGTTAAAATCTCTCCAGAAACTGCTTACCTTCTATTTTTTTTTTTTTTTTTTTTTAGGTAAAACAGATTTTACTTTGTATCTTTTTCTTTGCTGCATGTCAGCTATTCCTGAATGCAGGAGCAGGAATGTCTTAGGAAGAACAGCCTGTGGGTCTGTGACTTGTGCAGTTAAGGGCCCGTGCTCAGAAAGGCTCCATGCTTGAGGCTGTTGCCATCTCAAAAATTTTTAATAGTGTATGAAAAACAACCCACATTTTCATTTTGCACAGAGTCCCATAAATTATGTAGCTGGTCTTGCCTGGCCAGGGTATTTCATTTTTTCCTCTTTAACTAAAAAGATAATTCCATACAAAAAAAAAGGAAAATAGTTACATCATTGATATTTTAACAGTTTACACCTAGTTTCTCTGGTCCATTGTATATGAGCTGCCAAAATAATTTAGGGTACACATTTGGCATGACTCACATGGAACTAATATGTGGGTATGTGAGCTGGACATATAAAGATGAAATCATCCCACAGTGACAAAATATTTGAGAATGTTAACCAGCTTTACCTGAGAAAAATGTGTCTATGCCATAATCTAAATAAAATAATAATTGTTGAACAAGTAAGTTCTTAATGAGCTTTGCCCTTTTCCATATTGTTCACCATTGGCTTTAATGGAAAATTCTAAACATGTATTTAAAAATTTTAATGATTGTGATATACATTCAAAGAAAGCAGATTATAAGTTGCAATCAAGTAAGAGAAATGCTTTTGCACTCCAATGAAATACCAAAAGAAGACCATTAAAAGGCTCACAGTAACACAAACAAAATGACTTTTCTATAACTTACTCCAAGAAAACTTTATCTTCAGTTGCGCCTTAGGTTTATTTCAATAATCCAAGGCTGTTGTACACATAAAATGAGAAAATTATGTAAAAGACAGTGACAACACCTCTAGAAAGAAAACTATGGCACACTGAGAGAGGAAAGCAAAGCACTTTTTAAAATTTGGACAAAAAGTACATTTATAAACAGATGATTCTGAATTGAAACAAATTAATGCTGTTATAATTCAGAAATTGCATTGTCACTTTTTTGCAGAAGCAAATTTTATTGAAAGAAATAATCACATATCTTCATTATTTTTCTGTTGAATTTACCCATTTCTTTATATCTTGAAATAAAGAGCAAATTTTAAAAAATGATTATTCAGTGAAATGACAAAAAATGCATCTAGTCATAGGAAGGAAAACCATCCAGTACTGCTAATAAGCAATACTTATTTTTTTCAATATTGCCAAAAAATTTATAGATAATTGGGGTTTTGCATTGATACCTATCTGGGACCATGAACTATTTGATCTGCATCTGTGTTAAAATAGACCAGCGGAACTTCTTTTCCATTCAGTTTCTCCCCAGATTTGGTACAGTGCTGGAGTTCAAAAGATTGTCATTTGTTGTTGGTTTTTTTTATTATTTATTTTTTAGGTATAAATGGATACAACACAATGCCTTTTATTTTTATGTGGTGCTGAGAACTGAACCCGGGTCCCACCTGTGCTAGGTGAGTGCTTTACCTCTGAGCCACAATCCCAGCCCCATTGTTGTTGTTTTTTTAAGTCTTGGTTTGGTACCCATGATGAGACCCTGTAAGAAAGGTGATGACTGGAACAGTTACCCAATACTTCCCCTTTCCATTGTTTGTATACCTACAAATCCTGCAAGAATCGTACTAAATAATGAATGAAAAAGTACAAACCACCCTGTATTCATTTCATAAAATGGTTATAGAAGTTGTGAGAATTAAATACATAACTTTAAAAGATATCCTTGATACATCACTTCAATGGAATAAAGGACAAAAACTTTATAATCATCTCAATGGATATAGAAATGACATTTAAAAACATTATCTCTTCATGATAAAAACAAAGAAAAAACCAGGACACATCATAATAAAGATCACTCATGTTAAGCCAATAGCTAACATTACACTAACAGGGAAAAACTCAACTAGACAAGGATGTTCTCTTTCACTACTTGTATTCAACACAGTATGCAGAATCCTAGCCAGAGTATGCCAGAAATAAAGAATATCTAAATTGGAAAATAAAGAATCAAATTCTCACAGTTCACAGATGACATGATTTTATATATTGAAAAGCCCCAAAACTCCATCAAAAAACTATTAGGACTAAGAAACAAATTCAACAAAGCTGCAGGACACAAAAGCAACCTATAAAAATCAGTAGTAGTGCTACATGCCAGAAGTGAATTATCTGAAACAGAAAACAAGAAAGCAATTCCATTTAGTGTAGCTAAAAAAATAATATTAATAAATTTACCCAAAGAGGTGAAAGACCTCTAGAATGAAAGTTATTTATGAAAGAATTTGAAAAGGATACAAAAGAATAACGAAAAGAAATCTCATGCTCATGGTTGAAGAATGGATATTGTTAAAATGTCATACGATCCACAGAAATATATAGGTTCAATGCTATTCCTATCAAAATACCAACAACATTCTCTACAGAACTAGAAAAAGACAATTCTAAAATTTATGTGAAAACACACACACATACACACACCAAAAAAAAAAAAAATCCCAAATTGCCAAGGCCATCTTGATCTAAAAGAACAAAGTAGGAGACTATCTGACTTCAAAATGTTTGAAATATATTTGTTAATTGTAAAAATCCTATAATTTGAAATGCATGGAAAAAATTGTTGAAAATCACTATGCTCTTTGGAAATTCAATTAAGTAATATTTTATCATTTAATAACTTTGAATGTATTTTCAATCTTAAACTACTTTATATACTGTCTTAGAAAAACCTTCTAAAAGATAGTATACATATGAATTATAAAATTTATTATTGTGAGCAACCATTCACATTTTTCTTATATCAAAATGTTTGTTGAACAGTTTTTTAGGTGTGCAAGTGAACAGATAGATAGATGTAACCTAATGTAACAGCTTCCAGTAGGAATACTAAGAGAAAATGTGGATTTTTGTGGAATTTATAACACCAACGACAGGATTTGTTGCTCAAATTCTCAAACCAAATGTGTTAGAAAACACTAAAAAGAAAAAGACAATTATTATGTAATTATAGAATTTTAAAACAATCAACAATAAGATATTCTCTTGTATATGTCTTCCTAATTCCATGATGAATTTTGAATGTTCCTCAAACTGGTTCAAGCCAGTCTTAACTTTATGATACAAAATTTCATGTTACATTACCACTTGATTTGTTTAATATTTACCCATTAAATCAAAACACTTTATGGTTACAATTATTTAGTTAACAGTCAAGATTCTTACAGGTCACTATATTCAAACATATATCACACCAAAGCTCATGTTCAAGCTCATTTTCTTCTTTCCACATATATTTTCCCAGCATCTAGTACGTTACCTTTATGTCCACTATTTGTTATAAAAATAAAAAGATTATAATAGAAAAATTAGAAATAACTGGGCAATTAATAAAATAATGGTAATTCATAGAGGAGCAAGTCTAAAACTGTTGTGGGTAAATTAAGTAACATTTAGATTCATTAGTGATTAGAAGTGCAAATTAAAACAAGAATGCAATATTATTTCTCATCATATTAAAAAAAAGTATGAAAGCCAGAAAATGCCATGTGTTGAATGGATATAGGATCAGGAGACCCTGACCTCTCCCAGGAAGATCATACTTGCTAGATGGGTTGCTCCAGCTTATTCCCACTCTGTGATGTGTGAATGCTATTACTAGGATGAGATGAGAAAAAGAGCTTGTTTATTAAAGGTGTAATTATCTTAATGAGATTAAAGAATGCAACTGTTTCAGAAGGCAATCTGGAAGAAATTAGTTAAATTAAACATACAAATGCCCAGACATCCCCTTCTTGAGTATTTGTGGAATTAGAAAAGCTGGGCCTTGGGAGTGTAGGAATGCTAATGATGGAAATAGTTGGCAAAAGAAACAGAACACACCTGGTGTTGATGCCAGAAGGTGAATCCATCTTAATATCTTTGGCAGGTAAAAACAAGTGAGAAACAGGATCTGGTACATAGAGCAATGCCATTTATGTGGACTTCAATGATATGCATGTAAAATTATAATATATGTTTTACAAATAAATAGCAGGCATTACATAAAATAGTTGCCAAGAAGGGAACTGAAGAAGAAAATAAGAGAAAATGAATGAGTTAATAAATGAATGAATGAAAAATATAAGCAGGAAGAGAAAAGCTAGAATGAACCAATAGAATGGTGGGCTATAAAATGAGGATTTGATGTGTGTGGGGGTCCAGAACAGAAATGAGAATTCTAAAGTAAATTCAAACACACACACATTTATTTATATAGATTTATGTGTGTGTGTGTGTTTGTGTGTGTGTTATATAGTATTTTGGTAACTTCAGAAGTCCAACACATTCAGGGGTCCAAAAACTTTAGGGGTCCAACAAATTATTCATATCAGTTATACTAATTACACATTCACTTTTATGTTAGGCTGTGTTAATATGTGAGAAATATATAGATACATTTTATTCTATTTTGACAAATATAATTTTTGTAA